TGTTTTAAGAGATAATATTTCTAGAGATATGATTTTAAATCACTTTTAAAATGTGTGCTATACCAGACCTTCCAAAGTCAGCTTCTCCTTTGTGAGAGCAAAAATTGATACAACCTTGTGCTTTTATCTGCAGCTTTGCAGGAGAAGCCCCTATTGATGCATGATCTAACAGTGAGGTGAACAGAGTATTTTGGGTGTAAATTAAAACATCTGAATTAATGTAAGAATTGGGCTGTTCAGAGGGGGTTATATGAACAGTTATGTGTATAGGCTTGTATGGGGCATGTTAGAAATCCATGAGAAAACTAACAGTGATAATGAACTGAACAGAGTTCTAGGTTGACTGCTCTTGCTGGGAAGCTTCATCCACAATACTCCTCAAGCTGGTTTTTGTAAGCAAAAAAATTGTAGGGGGAAATCAGTGCATACTTAGATTAGTAAATTCTGTTCTGTGGTGGTCCCATGAAGAAAGCATAAATTACTGTTGTATTTCCTTTTAAAATGCATTTTGAAAATATTATCTAATCAGTGAAATGTAACTGATTTAATGAGATTGTTTTGCAAATACTACTGTCTTGGCTGAATAACCCTATAATTTCTGCACGATATAATGTGGTTGTTGCTTACAGCGTATGGTGCAGCCTAAGAATGTAATGTGATTACTGTTATATGATTATATGATATGATTTTTCTGGTTTAGGTTGATGGAGTTAATATACAGGATTATACCAACCAAGAAGTGGTAGAGGCGTTGCGTAACACAGGACAGACTGTACGCCTTACCCTGCTTAGAAGGAAACCTTCTTCTACTATTTCTTCAGAAAGAGGTGATCCTTTTTTTTTCTTTTTCCCTTTTTCAGCAAGTGATTTTATTTTTCACTCAATTTACAGTTACCTGATTTAACAATTAGGACTAGATACCACATTATCCTCAATTTTGTAAGGGCATGCTATAGAAAATGAGATCCTTAAGGAGGAATGGAAAGAAACAGAAATGAGGGATTCGGGAAAATTAAGTGCAAAACCCCTGTGTAGCAAAAAAAAAAAAAAGTAGTTAGTAGTGAGGTAGTGTTACTACTTCACATATTTTGCAGCATTTTTTTTTTTTTTTTGTTTTAAATCTGTTTTCACAGTGCAGCCAACTGTTCCAACCTGTGTGTCCCCTGGAGCTGTAGGGACTGAAACTAGGGTGGACGCTAAGAATGAGGAAAACCAAGAACAGAAGAATAATCTTCAAAATGAAAGGAAGCAGAGTCTGCGTAAAACAGGTGGATAGGATATCTTGCAATGTCTCTTCTGAGTCTTTGGAATTGTCTTTAATCCATTTTCAATATTGATGGGCTGTCGTGGCTTACTCCATCTTTAGCTTTTGCTCTGTAATGCTTTTTATTCAGGTCCCTCTGAAGTAAAGCGCTACCTGTTAGATCTATCAACTCTTCCACCCCACCGTATCCTCAAAATGTAGCACTGTCTGCAGGTTTGCTGAGGGTGCATTCTGTGGCATCCTGGAGGTCACTGATGAAGATACTGGATAATATTAGCCCCTGTAGCTATTGACCTTCTCTCATAACTGGCTGTCAAGCCATTGGTTAATGCTGTCTTTGATCCCAGTGGTCCATCTAGTTTTCAGCCTATTTAGCAGTCATCAAACCCATGCTTCCTCAGTTTCCAAATGAGAATGGTGATGTAAATGGTGTCAAAAGCTTCTGTAAAGTTGAGGTGTATTACACCCTTCATCCACATAGCTGTCTTGGCAGTCAGGTTGGTCAGTTATCTGGCAAATCTATATTACCTGTTCCTGATTTGCCTTCTTATCACGTATGTCTTTGGAAATGAATTCCAAGAGGAAGTATCTCATGATGTCTTCAGGGCCGAAGGTGAGACTGACTGGCCTATAATTCTCTGGATCTTCCCCTTTGCATAAAGTTTGCCCTTTTCCAGTCATTAGTGATCAAAGGCGGATGCCTTTGATTGCCACATCTTGTTTGGAGGGTTTTTTTGTAGATTATAGATGGTGGAGGTGCAGCCCTTTCAGTACTCTCTCATAAGCTCCATAGAGCTGAATGCCTCCAGCTCACCGATTCCTCTGTCTAGCCCTGGTCCTACTCTGACCTGAGGCGTCCTGCATGCAGTCTTCTCCTGACACAGATTTGCTCATCCTCCTCTGCTGCCAGGGCCCTGAACCAGATTGCTAGGTGAACAGCATCAGGAGATGGAACTCTTGGGAGTTCACATTTACTTCCTGATCCAGTGTTACCTTAGTCATATCTAGCTTCTTGCCCTCACAGGTCTTAGATTCCTGCATCTGCAGAGTCTTTTCAAAATATTCTGTTGGTTTCCTGTATATCATCTCTGATGCCCATTTGATGCAGTTTCCTCTTTTGGCACTGCAGTAACTTCATCAGAACTCACCTTCCGAGCTGCTCAACTTGGCCTCCTAAAACCTGTGACCTGAGCTGCAGCATCCTCCCTCAGGAGTTTTGACTGAGTAGGGCTTGCTGAAGGACTGGAGGTGGCTGCAGCAGCAGGGCCAGGGGATCATGTCTTGTGACATGTCTCCATTTGTAGGTCATTTTCTGCACAAATAAGACAGATGCTATTTCCGTGAACATCTGTCTCACCTGTGTGCCACCTGCCATGTAACTGCCTTGCTCGTGTTTGCTTGTCCTGCTTATAGTGCTCCCAGTCACAGACATTTTCTGGAGTGCCAGAGAAGTAGGAAGCCTCGCACAAGTTATGTCCACCTCCTGTGAGATTCCCCACCTGGCAATGAACCTCTCCTTGCTGCCTGCTGGTTCCCAGACCCAACTCTTTTACCTTGTGGTACTAATACTGTTGCATACTGCTTCCTACCATACTACTGTTGGAAACTAGAGTTCAGTCTCTAGACATGCAATTTCTGGCTTGCTTGTCCTGAGCTTACTAGCTGAACTGGAAATTGTTGACTGTACACCTATGCAGGCAGATGAGAATCTCTGGTCTGGCAAAGGTGTAATAGGCGTAAAGACCTGATAGATGGAATTGTAAGCTGGACAGGAGTTCAAATTAGCCATCTGTTTTTAACAGCAAAGGCAATTGGACATAGGGGCAGATCACAAAAGCATGGATTGCTTTGGTTTTTAGCTGACTTCTGAATCAAGGTCGGAGGTCTTTCCAGAAGGCGTGCTTCAATTCCCCTACAGATTTCTGGGCTCTTCTACAGGAAATTCTGGGTGAATTTCTACAGCTTGTGTTAAAGTCAGCATAAATTATCCTTATGCCTTGTAGTTTCTAAGATATGTAGATGTAATAGAGGATTCTAAATTATGGCTGCCAATGAATAACAATTTTGCTATGATTGTGGAAGATCTGTCAGTATTAAAGACAACCTGGAAACGAGAGAAATGTAGCAGTTCCTATGTTCCATTCTGTTTTACTTTTCTGTCCAAGCCTTGTAACCAGACATCCTTTGTTGTGACTTTTGCATGTTCCCAGAAATAGGAAGCCAAAGCAGAGGTGGTTGAGTAGCTGAGATGTGAGTTTATCAAAGCATTGTTTTAGCTGTATGAATGGAAAAGCATCTATTGATTTGTAACAATGGGTGAATAACTTAAGGACTTAGCAGTAGGATGTATTTAGGGGCAGAAGAGCCAGGAGGACCTACACTTGCTGTGATAGAGGCTAGAAAAGAGCAACATGTGCTGTCCTGTCCTGTCATTTACCCAGTCCTTTTTTTTTTACAGTGGAGCTTTTTTATGCATGAAGTATTTTCTTTTTCTACTGAAGCGAACAGTATCTCTGTAGTCAGTTCCTGACTACTCATGATTGGGTTATCTTGTGTCACAGGCTGCAGATGTCTGTCCTGATACAAAGAGAACTTTCTGAGGAATTTGTTACCTAATACCTAGTGCTGTGCAAATATGGTATATCAAATATCAATGCCAGGATCGGTTTGTGCTGGGAACTAAAATTGTTTTTACCTGGCTTGAAGTTAACAAACTCTGTTAGTCTCAAGGTGTGTTATCTTAGATATGCCTAGTGATCCCTGTTCTGCTGATAATCAGATTGGATCAAACTGTATTTTTGAGCCCTTTTCATAGCAGACTCAAACTGCTTTGATGTGGATGCATCTGCCCCTCCATAAATACTCCGAAGTAGTTTCAAAAGGAGTTTGTAACCAAGTTGTATGTATATGAGTGGCTCCCCTTCAATTCTAGCATTGTGCAAATCTCGTAATCCCCTTCCTTGGAGCTCTGTGGAGTACGGTGCAGATGCACCTGTATCTGGCAAGGACTTAATTGCCTGGAATCCATAGCTGCTGATTGGACCTATGCTGATTCCCTGCAGGGGCAGTGTGGTATATCTGCGCTGCGTTCCCCAGTGTATCATGTAGCAAGTGTACTATGAGATTTTTCTATTCTCCTATGTATCCAAGCTTCCCTTACCCTGGAGAATACAGGATAATGTGTTTGTTATGCACAGTGTGTCTTGGGATACGAAAATTTAAACACTGATGATATTGTTTGTTCGCGATTGGATACTGCACTTGATATCACTGAGCAGTGCTGGTCCTTCTTGGGCCAGCAGGATAATGCAATGGGCATTGCTTTGAAACAGAGTAATGAATCAGGAGCATTTAATGCAATGGAGAGCAAGTATCATTGCTTGCTTAAGCTGGGGTTTTTCATAGTGAAAAACCACTTTAAGTTACAAGGTTCTGCAAAAGCTTTATGCAACTATAAAATGTGTGTGTGTATGTTAAAAAGTTGAAATACTTAGTTGCAAAGTTTACTCATACTGAAATACGATGTATAAGATTTCACCTTGGAATAGAATTTAATGGCCAAGTTTAAGTTCCAAAGATAGGTGCTTATTTTGGACATGGTGATGGGCCCTTCGTTATAATGGTGCTAAAATAAATACTGCTAATTTAAGGCTCTGACTAAACTCTGGAAATGCTTTTAGAAGTTTAATGTAAAAGGTATGTTTTATAAAATATGTATTACTTCCCTTTAAGCCCAGTTGTGTGAAATTCTTATTAAATTGTGTTTCCTGGAGAGGTATTAAATAGTAATTCTGGCCAGGCAAAACCATGCTTAAGCAGTTCTGTTACAAAGGCAACATGGTTTAGGATGCAATGTACATGAGGCCTGAAACTTTCTGCTAGCAGACTAGAGGCAATTAACTTAACAGCCGCATCTGCAAGACTGCAGACTGGGCAGAAGTACTTTCTTTTGCCTTGCAGCAGGACTCAAAACCCAAAGATATGATGACGCTAGTCAGGCACTTAAAGATGGCTGGGGAAAAACATCCAACAGTAGGGCAGATAAAGGTAGAGCATTAATGAAGTGCACTAGAGGACAGTACACATCCTTTTTCAGTAAGTTTGTGAAACGAGGAAGAAATGGCAAGAAGAAAAGATCCCAATTTTGAAGATGCCAGCAATTTTGACCAGGAAAGATGTTTTTTACAATACACTTGTGATTTATTCTTGATGCTTGCTAATTAGAAATTAAAAACTGTATGAAGTGCAGACAGAAGTACAGGCTAAATATGTTGAAAGTTGTTGCTAATGAAAGCTGTCCCTGTCAAGTGTTTTCATTTCTGAGGCCTTGCACATTCTAGAATACATGGTATGTATCTCAGGTCATGAGAAATCCAGCTGGATGAGACACTAGAAAGAAACTTCCTATTAGCTGCCATGTGGAAAAAGCTGTTTGGGGAAAAGGGAGCATTTTAAGTGAATTGGGTGATACCATTGGAATTGAATATATTTAGTCCAAATCCCTCCAGCCAACATTTCCACAGTTCTGAGGAAGTTACAGGCAAAGACTTCAAAGTGTGTTTGAAAGAAAGAAAAGGGGAAACTTCAGATGGAGACGTGCATCATCACCTGCTCTGAACAACTTGTAGATTTTGGTAACATGTTTTGGAAGCAACAAAAAAAATCTGTATTCAGCCAACTGAACACAGCTTACAGTTACTGAACTGAACTTTGAGCTTGACCCTAAGATTCATAGGTCTATATTTGGCTGCACAGGGGATTGTAGGTGCTTAGGTCCTCTGTGTTCATGCTACAACTTTGTAACAGCAGAAAAAAAGACAAGAATTTCTGTCCCCATGTATTTCTGCAAATGGAAGGAGTAGAAAAATGCGCTGGTGTTCTGGTTTTGCTACAGTTGGGAAGAAAAGATAGTGATCAGCCTGTGCTTGATAACAAGGCTCACGAAGAAGACTTCTCCTTAGAAACTTCAATTAAATTTAAATAGAGGAAAAGACCCTTAACTCGCAGCTGAGAATTTTGGAACAATTTGTCTTCCTTTTTTTTTAAGGAGATAATTTATTTCAGAGAGAACTGTGGTCTGTACGTACAAACCCAAGTTTTTATTCTTGGGGTTTCTTTTTGGTGACAGAAACTAGTTATCTGAATTGCTGGAATCCTTGAATATCTATATCTCCTTGACCCTATAGGTTAAAATGCTCTAGGTATTTCCAAGTGAAGTCTCAGCTGTTAGGCTCTGAGGGGTGTGGTTTCTCAGTGCAGATCAGACAAAATTTGCCTGTCTGGCATGACAGAAAGTGAGTGGAAGAGATACAGTGATGGGTTATTTTGTTGTATAAGTTAACTTAAATCTTTGTTTTTAATGAGTGGAAAACTTCAAAGTTATAAAATGATGTAATGGGGATTGTATTGCAAAGCTCATGTTTTATCTTTGCAGTCTACAAAGGTGTTGAAAGCAAAGGCAGCTTGACATCCCATTTGTGTTGGCTTTGGCTAGTAGGTAGGCTCTGAGCTTCTCTTGGTGTCTTCAAAATTCCCCCCTTGAGGTATTTTACTCACTAGGTTGTGTGCAAAATGTGAGGTTGTGATTTACATTCTGAATTTCAGTGACACATCAGCAATACTAAGCGGTCTGTGCCTTGTCTAGACATCTGACAAACTATTACAGTCATTTGGGGGGAAAAAAAACCCAGTTTTCAGTAATTCAGGCCCCAGTTGCTGCTCCTGCTCCTGTAGCTGCTAGATGGAATTTGCTTTAGAGCTTGATTCTTACCAGTTAAACATTGCTTCGGCTTGGAACTTTATATGTGCGCTGAGCTTCTGGATGAGGTCAAATGCAGGGCAGCCAGTCATTTTGTGCTGTCTAGCTCTGTCAAATTGTCTTACATGAATGTAATACTGCCTTGGTTGCATAAGTAAGAAAGCTGAAAAGATATAAATGTCAAGATAGCCAAGTTCCCACGGAAGACTGGTTTAGAACTGGAGCTTATATTAAAGCTCTTGTTACTTACTGACCTAATTAAACTAGACAAGCTTTTATACCTGCCAAATGTATAAATAAAGTCTGTGACTGCATTGTGCTGACGCAGCCCCTCGATAAGAGCAATATCTTGTCAGGTGTTATACTTCTTAAGGGGGTTCATTTTGGTGGGAGATAATGCTTCCCTGGAGTGGCAAGCATTTTTGTAGCAACAAATTATGAAGTCGTGTGAACCTTGTTTTGCAGACTAAAATAATGATTTATTTACAGTACTATGGTACAGAACTCGCATCTCATCAATGCAAGCATCACCTCTTCTGCTTCTCAGTTGAATAAATCACATGTTAGCAGTAGCTGACACTTCGCATTGTTTTCCTAAGAAAGACATTTTTGATTTGCACTGTTTGATAGACTCAGCTTAATGCACTTTCCTTTTTGGGATTATTCCCTCTAATCTTTTATTTACACGGAATTTTTATTGAAGTATTTAGAAGTAAATGTACTTCTGAATGTACAATATGCTTGTAAATTTAACATTCACTTTCATATTTAGGAAAAGTCCCACTCCCTCCAGCACATGAGCTGAAATCCAAGTGGGAAAACCTGCTGGGACCTGAATACGAAGTTATGGTATGTTATCTTTCAATAAACTACACTCATGTATGTTATTTCTTTAAATTACAGATATATGAACTTAGCATTACAGGCTGTTTATAGAACAGTTTAGTATTTGAAACAGATCAGTAACATCAAATTTTGTTTCCTGTAGCATCAAGGCTGAAATATAGGAGTGTTATAATGAGTTGTTGGGGGGTGGTTTTTTTGTGGTTTTTTTTTTTTTTTTTAATTCTGTTTATATAGATACTATTGTTATACAGATACTAAGATACTATTGTTATACAGATACTAGACAGGAACCGCGATTTAAGAAAATCATCTGTCCTTTTTAATCTGCATCATAGCAGCCACTTAAAATATGTGGCATTTCTATGATTTCATTTATGATTTGTTTTATTGTGCACTGGGAAAAAAAGGCTCAGGATAGAGCTTCTGTGTTTCATGAAGAATCTTGCAATTTTATTAGAAGAATGAAAAAATGATTTTCAAATGTGCTGGGAAAATAGGAAGTAATTCATGGTAGCGTAACTTTGTGGTGCCAGTGTCTATTAGATATTTCTTCACTTCATATTAAATAATTGCCAAGCAAAAGACTGTTTTGATGAATCGTCACCAGGAGTTGACTGAAATTGTAATTCACTGCTGCTTTTCAGTGCTGTGTTAGCCAGTGAGTACAGATAAAAGACTCCAGCCAGTGTTCTTTCTGAAGACTTAAAAAATTCTCACCGCCACCAAGAAAATGTCCTGTTTGTCTTTGCAATGCTTGTCCGGTTGATTTAGAGACACTTATTTTTACTACTTGGAGTAGCCATCATTCCAGTCACTCGCTGGAAGATTTAAAGTAGCTTTAAGAATTGCCTTGAGAAACTCACTTCTCTTCTTTCCATTAGCACTCCTTTAAGATCTGAAGTTCGTGTAAGATTATGTACATGATGCAATAAATCTGTGTGGCTGCCCACTTCAGTTGCTTGGTATTCCCATCCTTACATTTCAAGAGTCTGATATTACTTCCCTTAGCAGTATCACACTTCCCACAGAGGACGAAAACCTGCTTAGTTCATGAAACCATCCATTTCTAATTCTTCTTTAGCTGCCGCCAGTAAAATGGCAGGAGTGAAAATGTTAACAATTGGTCCTTTTAAATAATAGAAAGAAACTGTTGTGGCATCCCATTTTGAAAGTATTTTTTCGGTTCTTCCAGTTCTTGTCATCTGTACCTACATCTAGTCTTGTTTGGCTGCATTCAATAACAATGTTTAGTTCAATTTCAGCCTGATAGCACAGTCCCTGTTTCATGCTATCCTTGCTCCTATGCTCAGCTCCCAGGAAATCACCCCGAAGGTGCCTACAGGTTTGAGTATTCTCTCAGAAGTATTTCTCTTCAGAGGAAATAGCTGTTTGAAGAGAGGGTTTGGTGTCACTCATGGCTTCTGTGTTGCTGCTCCTTTGTGGTACCAGCGGAAGGAGCTAAGATCCTGCTG